ACGAGAGAGACACACACACACACACACACACACACACACACACACACACACACACACACACACACACACACACACACACACACACACACACACACACAAAAACATTAGGCATGTGAAAAATGAAGGAGAAAGAGGAGTGTGTGTGCAATATGTGCATCAGTCAGCAGGTGTTTCAAAAGGTGAATATGAAGTAGTTTTTTTCACCATCAGGTTACATAACAAATAGACGTCATATTGTAGCTAACCAATGGTATTGCACATGTTTGGAGCTTCTCTTCTCTCAGTGCTGACTCATTTTTCTTTACACTGTATTTATATCCATATCCTCAACAACACTAACAACGGAGAATCATGTTGCAGTCAGAGCCACGTCTTATGATACAAAAATATGTTCACTTTTAGCTACAGTTGTCGTAAACCCAGCAACAGCAGGAGAAAGATGAGCTATTTTCACAGCCTTCGTATTTATGAGGAAAAACCCCACATCACCCCCATCCCCCACCTACACGCTGTGTGCACGTGTAAACCAGAAACAGTGTTTCTCATGGTAATCTCCTCCTATTGCGTCCTTGATTCAGCTACTCATTTACCACAGAACATGCACATTACAGGGTGCGCACACAATATTCCAATATGACCAAACACACAGGCACTACCTGTTATCAGCCACGCATGTGCAAACATACTGTACACATACATCATCATTAGTCGTCATTGTTGCAATCGCTGACATGTTTACTGTACACACAACTCGATACCCCATCACACATTGATCTCACTCAGCCACACACACAACTGCTTTGACAGCTAACACCTAGCAGATTGCCTTGTTCTTAGGATGGATTGTTAAAAACACACACAACACTGGGAGGATTTGAAAAGGACAATATAAACATAAAATGGTACAACAGAAACATGGTATTAAAGGGGCCCTATTGTGCTCATTTTCAGGTTTCACAATTGTATTTTGTTCTTTTACTGTGACAAGATTACATGCTCTGATGTTCAAAAAGGGCTTTATTTTTCCTTATACTGCCTTTGCTTCAGCCCCTCTTTTCACCCTCTGTCTGAAGCCATAGCCCAGTCTGCTCTGTGGTCTCTGGTGATTGGTCAACTGCATGTCCCATCCCTTAGCCTATCACAAACAATGTATTGGAGTGCTAGCCAATAGAAACGCAAGTGTTATAAAGAGATATCACTATGTACCGGAAAAAAGGGGTCCAATTAAGGCGATTCAGGAAGTGGGGGAGAGCAACTCCCTCTGGAGGTAACTTTGGGATTTTAGCATTTGTAGACCATTTACAAGCAAAAACACCTTTGTAACACACACAAGAGAAAGGGTAATCCCCAAAAGCATAATAGGGCCCCTTTAAATTAAACGTATTGATGTCACTGAATAAATATATATATTAAATATAATTATGTAATTATGGTGGTGTCCCTCTGTATCATTAACATTCTGTTGTATCATATTTTATTCTACGTGTACATGGTTTGCTTACTCTGTTCTAAGTATTTTGTATGCTGCACTGTTGGAAGATCCTGAAGACTGACATTTGCATTGGAAACAAATACGCTGTATACTGTATATGTTGCAAATGACCATAAAGCATTTGAATGTTGACCGTGTGCAACCAAGAGAAGAGGCATGCAAAATGAAGAAAGGGAAATTGAAATGCTCCATGAAGATGAAATAACGTCCAACCAAATTACAGGTTTAGGGTTTGAACTCAAACTTTCTGCCTCTCTTAAGACACTCTCCCCTCTCTTTCCCTGTGGTCTTTATCCAAGCCACTCTGTCTCTTTTGTTTGCTCAGTTTCTTTACCTAGGGAGGGAAGCAGAATCTCACCAATACCCACTCCATTCCTCTTGCTCCGTTGCTCTGCATTACTTTCTTTCCCAGCTATCATGCTCTTCTCTACTGTCTGTGAACCTGCCCTTCCTCTCTGTCCACGTGATTCATCCTTTCCCTCCTTTTATTGCATCTTCCTCCTCCAAATTTCCATTTACATGTACTGGTGTGGTCTACAGTCACAGCACAGTGGGTACTGGTGCTTCAGCACAGTTGGAGAGCTGCCACCACTACTAAAGAAAATAGAAACTCATAAACCAGATGAGTCCCGCAAGATAAATCCCAGCATGAGACGCATCAGGCCTCTCTGTGGAAAGTAATAAAGCAGGTACAAAGAAAACAATTCTGTAGCAATCTGCTTTCTATTAGGATTCTTCAGGCTGTCCCTAAGAATAGTTCAGCTATAATGTAACAGTGAAGCAATGCAGTGTTAGCAGTAACACAGCCAGGGCATGGGCATGGCAGGGGTGAATATTTGGGTCTGAATATGCAAAATATTCAATACCTTAATGTTAAGGATTGGACCAAATGCTTAGTTCAGTTTTCTCCCTCACTTTGCCTGAGAAAAAAGGTTAAATCCATTTACTTTAAATCACTTGACAAAAGTGTCTGCTGAAACCGATGCATGATCTAAACATTTGTGTGTGCTATGTTATTATAAAGGTGGAATCGTGTTTTACAAATTTGTTGCTGCTGTGGCTTTTTCCTTTATATTTGCTTTTTGGAACATGAATTGAAATTGTCCAATATAGGAGGAAATAGGAACAGATCGAAACAGTTTAATAACAAATCCATTTGAATTACTTGTGAAAAAAATGTTTTTCTTAATTTTCTTTTTTTCAATTCTGACTGGTACATACAGTACATGAAATTGACAAGTAAGGCCAGCTGCCTTTTTGTTTCTCAAAAACTTGCAAAATAGAAAAATGCTTCCTTTAAACAAAAGACTAGAGCGATGTCTGTGAATTGATTTTTATGTGAGATAAAAATCTTGATTCTTACATGATTACATTTTCCCCCCAACCCTATAATTCCACTGAATATATAACAGAGATGAACCTATGTTTTGTGGATTTTTAAATATTATTCAACAGTTGAAATCATAGAAAGCGCAAAAATAGAAATGTGTCTCTGATAGTGAGTATGTGACCACATAATCGGGATGTGGACCTACCAGAAGACACACATAAGCACACTCACACACTTATATTTGTGGCCAACACTCATGGCCTTTGATTGGCATCATGGGTCACTAAGCCAATGGCCACCTTCCATGTGTATACACGCAACTGAGAGAGGGAGTGGGAGAGAGACAGAAAATGAATGTTTGCCCAAATATAAATGTAAATTTGTTTGTGTGTGTTAGTGTTTGTGTGTGTGTTCTTGCTTCTGGGTCAGTGTGGTCAGGGTGAAGACAACCACAGAGAGCTTGATCTGTTCTCTCTGTCACGGTCCATTGCCGTCAACAACAGACACTGCCACTGCACGCAGCCACTGTGTGTGCGAGAGGGCTGTGTTTGTGTATGTGTGGGGGAGAAAGAACACAAAAGCTAATAAACAGTGTGTTGTGAGAGAGCAGATATATATGTGTGTTTCTTTTAGTCTATTTGCTGCATGGTTAATGTTCCTATTAGCAGTATTTTTCTTTTATGGTGCCATAATAAAATTCAAAGTGGATAAACATTAAGATGCTTTAGGAGAAAACTGATGTAGGGAGTTGTAAGCTGCTCTTACAGTCTAGCCTAACACACACTCTCACACACACACACACACACACACACACACACACACACACACCCTTTAAACACTGAAAAAAGACCCTGGTAATTTACACTTTCCCTGTGACAAAAGCACAACCGAGAGCTGAAGTTGGCCCTTAGTGGTCTTCTCCAATATACACCAACTTCAGATGTTTAGCTGTGCTATTGAATGTCAATATATTTGTGAAGTTGTGCCTTGGCGGCAAAAAAAGGCTAACAATCACTGCTCTACTTTAAAGACTTCGTTGCCACATTTACAGTATTTCTCCCAGGGATGGGATCACAGAGTCTGAGCAAACGCATTTGGAGAAACATATTCCCAAAGCCTCATAGTTTTGAGCAAAACACAGCAGTCTCCTCATTATGCGGGGAACCAACATAAATAAACCTTGAGACCATGTTAGCTCAAAACTGCCAGATTAGAAAAAATGAGAAATGCTTTCTATCTTTATCAATTTACTGTTTGCTAAATCCCTGAGAATAAGATCCAAAACTCATCTAAAACTCCTGTTACACTGCAAGTCTCATGTCACCGTTCAATCTAAACTGGCTCATATTATCATGTCCTGTCACATCCTGAGTATAGTTCATACTATAAAGGACTCAGATAATGCCAGGGTTGGAAATAATAAGTTTGCTTTGTCAATCAATGTACATTATATCACCTATAAATTTGATTTTGATTAACATTTGTTTGTTAATACTTGAATTTGACCAACTATGACAGGGTCCACATTACCAGACATGCAATTAAATCCCAAAATGACTGACTAAGCTATAGCAAATGCCCCAATCACACGTCATCCATCTCAATTGTGCTCAATTCTAGTAGCTTCTTTATTACATTACAGCCTGTAATACAACGGAGACACAAACTGGCTCACTTGTCACACTCCTCCCATCATTACATATACAGACAGAGCATGGGCATCTCTCTCTCTCTCCCTCACAACAACATATTTGTTATATAATCTGCCAGATGATTCAGGCTTTCAGAAGGATGGATGAAAAGAGGATTTTTTTTTGTTCATAGACAGCATAGCACACGTCAGATTTGATTGAAAAAAGACATTGTCTGCGTTGGATAATCACAGGGTGGAAAAGCTTGAATGATGTATTTTCCTGGTAATAAAGGCTGTGTACCTACTCAACTTTGGAGACAGCTGTGCAGGATAACATATCTCTGTTTGTTCATCATTGACTTTCTCATAACAAATGAGTCTACAAAATTGATTAAAGTTCTGATTTAAACACTGACAACATGAGCAGATTGATACAAAAACTACACGATCAAAATTGTGTCCTCTGAAGACCAGGTCATTGATTTGCTTCATAACATCTTATTGTGCAATACATTTTTAAAAGATTAATGAAGAGTGCTCTACAAATTGTATGGTAAAACTAGAGATTTCGTCAAAGGATCCCAGTGGTTATGCATGATGCCTTTATAAGTATGGCACTTCACGTTTGGAATATGTAATGATATGTTATGGAGGTACAGTGTTTAGACTGAGCAGGAAGCCTACCGTGGGTGAGGTCAGTCTCCTCAGGATCTCCCCCAGCGAGTCCAGGTTCACCCGTCTCCTCCTGGTCACCCTCTTGTGGGGGGGCCCGGGTCCAGGCTGCTCCTCTACCACCGGACACGCCGGTCTCTCTGCGGGGCTGCGGCCGTTCCAGAGCACCGCTCTGTGGGAAGAGTGTAGAGAGGAGAAGGGGCAACCTCGGATCTCCTCCACCGGCTCCAAGCCTCCATCCCCCGCGTCTCCCCCGGGGCTTTCCAGCCCGCAGTCTGAGCCCACCGAGCTGCTGAACGACTCCGAGGAGATCTTGCGCGACGACGAAGACATGGTGGTAGTGAGGAAGAGGAGGGTGGTGAGGATGACAGTGGTAGTGTTAAGGATGATGATGATGATGCTACAGTCGGTTCCGTACCACGTCCACCTCTACGCCGGGGAGTCATCAGATAGTGGTGAGTGAGAGGGTCGGGTGGGTGAGGGGGGTGAGGTCTGTCTGTATAATTATGTATGCATATGTCTGTTTGCGTGCGTGTGAGATAATGTCCAGGTCTGTGTAGATATGAGATGCGACTGTCTGCGTGTGGGACGCAAACCTATTCAGAGGAGAGGGAGAGGGGGGTCGACAGAGAACGAGAGCACTAACGGCACGCAAACATTTATGTAAGGGGGAGGAGGAGGTGGGGGGTCGCCTCTTTATAAAAAAATGTCCTCCTTTACCCCCAAAACAAATCTCCGTAGGAAAGCCAAGCACAAATTATGCTTCAAAAAATATACCCCTAGCAGCAATTTTGTATTTCTAAAATGCGTGTTTAGCCGTCTTACGCACAGTGAAACGCTTCTGCGCGACAAAAGGTTATCAAAATCGACATGTTGGTCCACCACAATAATTCCGACACATGATAATTATTCCTCTCACACACGGTGAATTGTTGCCATCCTCAGAGTGTGGCGTCTTGCCTTTTTCTCCCTCACTTTGCCTGAGAGATATCTCCAAAGTCACAGACAGCAGATGTGACTGTTTCCCTCTCTCATCCTCCCTCTTCTTCTTGTCCTCTGCGACAGCGGTTCTCCTGTCCGTCTGCTAACCGTCCTCTCATCATTCCTCCATCTTTCACTAATAATATTCCATTCCTGCTGCTCTTGGTATTTGCTTCGTCTTGTCTCTTTCTGTCGTCGGCTGGAGTGGAGGTGCGCGAGGGACACGGTGAGAGCGAGAGAGCGCGCGCGGACAGCCAGCAGCAGCACGCACCGGTGATGCTGTGAGGAGATCAGAGATGTGAAGTACAAATCAGAGAGTTTTAGTTCAACAAACCGCAACCAATCAGAGGAGATATACCAGAAAGACAGACGACAGATAGACAGAATGATGGGTGAGCAGATCACATCTAAAGTTGGTAAGCATTCATTTCTTAAATTGGGGGAATTATCCACAAGTCAACACATGGAACAAAACCTCAGTGTCTGTAACATTTTGCAACTCTTACTATTGTATCTTGCTATTCACTCATTTCTTGTTAATGTTTTTGTCTGATTAAAATGTCTTCTTCTAATGCACCGAATGCTTAATTCAGTTTAAACACTTTTTAGAGTAAAATGTGTATACCAAGCTGAAAAAACAGGTAAATGTCCCACATTCACTGCATGACAGTGTCAAGATCTTACCGTATTATATTTCAAGTTTTATTGTGCACACATGTTCCATATTCCCAAATATTTGAAAAAAAAAAAAAAACATTAAAAAGACAGGTTAGCACGAACAAAGTCACTCACAGAAAACCTGGAGGCAGGCAATTATACTCTGTCATATTAAGACTGTTTTCATGGTCTAGAATACACTTTAGAGTTAACACCATCAGCTGCAACACAGTATCATAGGTCAAACGATAAGGATAAAAGTTAACCTTTTGGATGGATCTTTTCGTTTAAAATTATTATTCCAGAAGGGTAGGTCTCTGAGTTTAATGCAACTGCCATGTGTAGTCTGCTGTGTGCACTTTACCTAATAGGTATTTATAATGCAGAAAGGTAGCAGGTGAAGGTAACACAGGGTCAATATACATTAGGGGCCCAACAGCAAATGTTTGCCCTGGGGCTAACCGACATGTTAATCCCGCCATGTCTGTGGGGATACATCAGGTTTGTTTCAAAAGGTGAATATAAAACATATAATATAAAGTCTGAAAAAGATTCCATATTATTATTGACATGTTCCTATCATGTTGACATGGCCGGTGGAAACTGGAAATGGAAATCAAGCAACACCTTATTTGAATCAAACCACAGGCATGGCCAATGAGACAGATTAATGGCAATCTGCCAAATGTGTTCAACATATTAAAGGAAAAATATGGCTCACCATGCAGATAATGGAGATGGCAGCTGTGGCACACGCCTGTTGTCTGCTGTCAGAGGACAGAATGATGCTCATGTCTGGAAGTAATCACAGCCATGACCTTGACCTTGATTGGCAGAGCATGTCTGTTCATTGAGGGCCCCAAAGGGACACGCAGAGAGAGAGAGAGAGAGAGAGAGACACTGAAATAGACATGATGCATCATGCAAATGCACCACACACACACACACACACACACACACACACACACACACACACACAGCGCAGTGTAATTTCCTGGAGGTGCCTCCTAATTCATTTGACTTTCTGGAGCAGCATGACCCCAATACATTGGATAGAATGTAGCTCCTTCTGTCTCTCTAACACACACCCACACGTTCCCTTTCTATCACACATAGCCAGCACTAACACACCACACACACACCAACACACAGTCTCCGTCTCTCCTTTTCTTTCCTTATCTGGTCTTTTGCTCTTTGCAATCAGTCTGTCATCCATCAGTAATATTGTGGGCATTTAATAAAGCGAACACCGCAATGGAATAAAATACTGTTCCAGAGAAGATAAGGCCGCTAGCAGCCAGACACCCGCAGCTGGGTGCAGACAGGGCATCAGCTCAGTCTCTGTGCAGACATGAAATTAGAACCAATAGAAAGGGCACCACAGGGGGTATCATGGTAATCTCATTAAATAGGTACATTTAACATGGATGACACCACATTTTAATAACATTATCATGGAAATGAGGTACGGAGCAGTCCAACTGGATTGAAGAAACACACACTCTTTTTAAATCACTCCTCAAAACTCACTTTAAAAGGTTTGTCTACAGTAAAATGTCTAGATTTGTATTTCTCTCTTTTCTTATACCTGTCTTATTACCCTGTTTTGTTCATGTTCAAATGTATCTTGATACGTCAAGCATCCAACAGTCTTTTTGCAATCTACTTACCAAAAAACTTTATATTGTTAATTTATGCTTATGTTTATGGTATATAATAAATACCATGAGTAACATTTCCTAATGATGATAGTCAGTCATTTAATCATGAATGTATCTTTAATGCAGTAGCATTTTGTGCAGACTGTCAAAGTGCCAATAATCAAGCAGTTTTATGAGTAGAAACTACGTTTAAAATAAAAAGAAATACATTTGACAATGTTGCAGTAAAAAATACAATCTATTCCCATGACAAGAGACACACATTTACATATTAAAATGCACATAGGGCACAGATTTTTCAAATAAATCCTTGAAAAAAGTGGAAGAAACAACATATAAGCAAAACATTCCAGGAGCCGAAACACATTTTCAGAGAAAAGATTCTGAGAAGACGTGAAGTTGTGGAATGCAGAAAGATAAGAGGTTCATCCCGCTGACACACACACACACACACACACACACACACACACACACACACACACACACACACACACACACACACACACACACACACACACACACACACACACACACACACACACACACACACACACACACACACACACACACACACAGATGTGTGTTGACAGACCCCGGTGAGTCAAAAACAGGTTTCCCCCAGAGATACGCAGACACTCATCCAGACACACTAGAGCATAAAACTAAATTGTAAATTCAGAGACACCCACACCTTTAGAATTTAAATGATACATAGCACTCTCTGTGGCTTTTAGATATGTAGCTTTTATGTGTGTGTTTGTGTTAGAAACGTCTTTCAAATATGTTAAGCAGATTGACTATCTAAATGAAAAAAGCGAACGGGAAAGAATCATAAAAGGAAATAAAATAGAAAACCTGGAAAAAAGCAAGCGAATAAGGGCATAAATAAAAGCTACAGAAGATATGTGTAGAGTGTGTGTGTGTGTGTGTGTGTGTGTGTGTGTGTGTGTGTGACACAGCGAGAGAGAAATGTCTGTCTTGGTCATAAATCTACCCCCAGCCTGTGTAATTGGCCATAACCATAAATCACTACACGCCACTCTGCTGCTATTACCCATGAACCTGGGCCTCTCTGTCACTTGTGCAATATAAATAACCTGCTTTATCATCCCAAGGGATTGAACATTTACAAATCAGTTTAAAAAAGCACAACATTTATGTTTTAGTGTTACAGTAAAGACTGCATTACAGATCAAGCTTAATTTCCTAAAAATGACAATATGATATGACTTCTGCAAACACCTTTTGTTGGTGGAATTTTTTTTCTTTCAGATGACATCATATTCAAGCTGTGAACGCTGACTTATGATGGAAGATGCCCTCTGATGTTCATATTAACAACATATAGTACACAGTCCATTGACTGCCCAGCAGAGACACTATCGTAGAAGCACAAAATACAAACTTGAACCTGGACATTTGCATAATTGGTCCTATTTTAACTCCCAGAGATAGTCTGTTACGGCCTGGCTCATAGGCTGCAACAAAGATGGGAGACCAGACAAGTTAAGTGTAACAAAAGCATATTTATTTACAATACGACAAAAAGCAAAGGTCTTCAAAGAAACCTAATAAATGTGGAAGTCAGTTATCAGTATTGATTGCGTGTATGGGTGTGTGACAATGTGCAGAAACAAAGATGCGGCCGTGTCTAACAGAAGAGTGAGAGGGCAGTATGGGTTGGTGTTGGCCTTTTATGTCGACGGCCCAGGTGTGGCTCATCAGGTTGATCACCTGAAACACAAACAAGAGCCAGCAAGCAGAACACAAAGGCATAGACCCCTAGTGGAGTGGAGGGGGTCGTAACATAGTCATTCAGTTAGGTTTTTGAAAAGAGTGATTCATAAACAGGAATACACTCTCTCCTTTAAGTGTCACACTGGAGAGCATGCAAGACTGACAAAAACACTGATTCTAAAGCTTGAGCCCCTGTGACCACATACACTAAGAGTAACTCCATCTTTTGTGATTCAAACAAATGATGCCCCTACAAGTTGCCCCAATGAGCCCCATGGCGTCTTAGGTGGCACCTGAAAATGAGTCAGGTCTCTGAAGTGATGACGTAATAAAGATGAGGTTGCATGCCGGGGCGTCGATGCTGATTGCTTGTGTATACACTTGAACATGTGGCTGTGCTGACACTGAAACCTCTTAGAAGCAACAGTGGCAAGGTGCAGGAGGCCATAGAGTAAGACATGAAATGCAGAGGCTCGAGAGCAGGAAAGAGCAGTACTGGCAAGAGAAGTGTAAACATAAAATGGTGAACAGACAAGGTTCCAAATCAGGTCTTGCTTCATAGATGTTTTACAGGCCACCAGCCTAGCTGTATGTGCGGCATAAAGTGAAAGAATATACCATAAAGTCACAATATTTGTTCGAAACTCAATAATACATCAATCCCCAAAGCTACACACATATCACACAAAGGTCTTGGATAAATGAGGACATTAAACCACTTCTGGCATGTTTATTTAACATTAAAAATAACCACAAATAACCTGATGGAGGTTGTATTTTCTTTTTTATTGAAGTAAAAAATGTTATCAGATAATATCTCCTAAAAAGAATTTTACATCAAATTCTAAATTGGTAGGTACAACAGTTACTGCACCAAAGTGTGTGTGTGTGTGTGCGTGTGCGTGTGCGTGTGCGTGTGTGTGTGTGTGTGTGTGTGTGTGTGTGTGTGTGTGTGTGTGTGTGTGTGTGTGTGTGTGTGTGTGTGTGTGTGTGTGTGTGTGTGTGTGTGTGTGTTTGTTTAAATAGAAGTGTAGTGTTTACTACTCTGCAGTCTTGGTGCAGTCGTACGGTTTCCACCACCCTGCAAACTCCAGGACTTTTTTCCTCTGGTCATCAAAATTCTCTCTTATCATTTTTCTCCAGCGTCGCGGCTCCAAGTCCATCATTCCTCCTACCACTTCCTGTGAGGGGATATAGGGATTTTGTCATACTGACAATAACAATGTAGAACCCTTAGTTCAGGAAATTTGCTCAGCTTGTTTCTCTGAGAGAATATACAGGTAAAAACTAACAAGATCTAAAAAAACACATTAGGGATAACGTTAGATATATTATATTTAATGCACACACTGACCTTGCCAAAGTAATGGGGGAACTTATGTTCATTTTCAATGACATGAGCAAATCCTCCCTGGAGTCCAAAGTCCACAGCAAAGTAGGGCAGACCTCGAGGAACCTAAGAGGAATTACACAATTAACAACAATTAACAAAGAGGGGAAAACAACCAGGGGAAAAAAATACATTTGGACACACAGGATTTAAAAGACGGAAAGAAAGACAGGCAAACAGGAAGTGGTCTTACAGCGTGGCGGATGTCTTTCGATGAGAGGTCGACGACCTTCTTGTTCATGGCCCATTCCTCATCGCAATCCAATATGGCTTTCTGAAGGCACACAGACATTCTTGGGTTACCAAACAACTCAGATCTACCCCTACTCTTCTCCTTATTCAGATTGAGGAGAGAAACTACACACCTTGAAGTATATGGGTGCCATATCGCCCAGTTCTCGGGGAAGTGGGAGACACTCTAAGACCATGTGTTGTCTTTTGCGTGGGTCCATGTGTGTTTCCATGAACACACAGTCGAGCTCCTGGGACTCAAACATTCGCACCAAAGTACGCCGGAACAGCTGAGGAGAGCAAAGCAGCAGGGAAGTGAACTCAGTGAATTGTAATCATTCTTGTTTAAAATAATTTGAAAATGAAGTATTTGATTGTGATTATATAAATGAAGTTGGACATTGAAACTTTAGCCCTTTGACGTAAAGCAGTGATGGCTGACCTGCATTTCTGACCAGACGTCTTCGTCCAATCCGGTGGCAGAGCAGTGATGCTGGAGGGGACAGATGTGACAGTGGCCCTCAGTCATAGACACTCCTGCAGGCACGCTCAGGTAGACCTGGACACAAGACGGAAAACACACACACAAAATAAAAAATATATATTTGATGTGTACATTTTGTATCTGTCATTTTCTTACCTTTCTTAACAGTCAATGTGGAGGTGCTATGATAGGTCCATTAACATGTTTGATGAATGACAGAATAGGTATTGGCAACCGGTCTGTTTTTCTTATTATTTTAAGATTTTAAACTTTATGGGGTTTTGGGTAAAGAGGACACTTAACGGAAATGATAACATTTGTCAAAATCATCATTTATGAGGAAATAGCCAAATAGTTAATTTATCAAATAATTAGCTGATTATGTGGAAATTGAATATATTGCTGTTGCCGCCATTTTTCCAGGATAAAACAGCGTTAACTAGTGACTTGATTAATGATTTTCTTTACCGAAACTGTTGACTGACTAATCAGTTAAGAGCCTAATGACTTCAGTCCACAAACATCCTGCAGCATCCCTCACCTTGCTCCCTATCGCCACGACCAGGTGCTTCTGCAGCTCTCGGCTGCTGAAGCAGTGCCGGCATCTCTCCATGGAGGCATTCAGCCTCCGACTCTCCCCGATGGCTTTGCTCCTCATCCTCTCCTCCTCCCTCCCCTCGCCCTCTCGCTGCGCTGCACTCGACACAAACATGTCATCCAGAGTGTAGTTGTCACCGTCTGTCTTCCCCATCATCTGGAGAGGGGAGTGGAAGGGGCGGCCATGGAGAGGACCGAGACAACGGAGGGGACGGAGAGGAGAAGGGGAGCAGAGAGGAAGATGCAGGGAAGAAGAGAGAAGAAGAGACGTAATGGTGAGAAGAGTTTAACAGGAGTCCATTCTTGAACAAATATACCGTATTTTCTTCCAACTAAATTGTAGAGGGAGCACACTTAAGTATGTGCTTTATTAAAGTAAATAATGGATATTTTTCAGAAAGAAAAGTCATAAAAAGCAAATCGGAGAGATAAGGACTGTCCTCAGAAACGGGCTGGTTCCTTTACCAATCGGTGTATGTATGTGCTGACGTAATAGTGCCGTCTGCCTGCCATCATTTGTGTGTCTGTACCAGTCTATGGTCTGTACATGTGTGTCTGTGTGTGTGAGAGAGCCTGAGCTACCCTGTGTGTAAGTTGGTCCCTGGTGTGTGTTAACAGTGTGAGGCAGGATGCCAAGCATCGACTCTGGTGTTTCTACGTCTGAGTCTTGTCACCATGGCGACCGGGCAACAGGTTTGAATCTGTGTGCATGTGAGAGAGCAAGAGGCAAGCATGGCAAGTGTGTGTGTGCATGACTCGCTGCGTAGGAGTGAGTGTGCGATTGAGAGTGAAAATGTGATTAGTTTAGTGACAATGTGGGAGGGAATGTGTGTGGGAGGGATTATGTGTGTGTGTGTGTGTGTGTGTGTGTGTGTGTGTGTGTGTGTGTGTGTGTGTGTGTGTGTGTGTGTGTGTGTGTGCGCAAAGGACTCCACCTAAGTGTGCCGGGTCTCTCCGAGAGCACAGTTATATTTTCTTACACACACATTCACACACTTACCTTTAGACTAATTCAAAATGTTTTTTTGATCTACCTTTAGGTTCCACACTGATGTTTTTTCTTTACAAAACTATTGATAGATTGACACATTCTTGATGCAATTTCAATTATAAATGGTGAATTCAGCATGCAGCAGCAGAGTGGAAGACATTGACATATGTCTGGCTCACTACTCATGTTTTATTAAGAGATAAACTTCATTAAATCTCCAGACAATGCTAGTCTCCTAACAGACGTTTCTGACCAATGGATTGAACTGGTATTTATAGAAGCCCTGCCATGGTAACTGTAGATGTATTTTTAGTGTCACTCTTTGTAGGAGCAGAACGTGTGTGTGAGTATTTGTATACGCATGTGTAATGAATATATGAGCGAGGGCAAGTTATTGAGCAGTGTGTGTGCACTTGAATGAGGGCAGAAGTCGGAGAAAGGAAAAACGCCGACACAGCCTTTGTCTTTTTTTTTCATTGCCATAGCAACTCCTTCAAACCCCTTTCTTTATACTTAGTTTGCACATGCATGTACTGTACACACGCTATCTCTTTTTTCACTCGTGTTTTAAAGAGCAAGGGAGGACATGCAGGAATCACACTTCTTCTCACATTTATCCAACAGACATTTCCTTAAATGCCAAATAAATCAGCAACCAGAATATTGATAACAACCACGTAATGTTGCTCTCCAAATGCATACTAAAAGGCTGCCTCTTTTGATCAATCAAATGTAATAAATGATTCACACATCCCCACTGCAGTGGATTAAACAATTTTAGGTGAAAGCAGACACAAATATGGTGGAATATAAAGGTGAAAACATTCAGGAGCTATATGTGTTTATGTATATGTTGTGGATTCAATGTGTCATATTCCTAGGTAGTAAATAAAGTGTTTAGATTTGGGTAGGACTTGTTTTTTATTCTAAAATCAATCAAGGAAACGGGTTCATCACTACTCTGCAGCGTTGCCTTTAGCAGTGGCTCTGAAACAGTGGGTTCTGTCCCAATAAATGTGTTGCAGACAGATTGTAATTACTCTACAAATTATTCTAAATACATGAAGATCAATCTTGCTGGGGAAAAGTCATTCATCTTTTCTGATTAATTATATGTTTAAAGTCAAAAATCGACTTCTTCCTTCCATCCTTTGTTGCATCTCCCACTTTCTATAAGTGAAACGTTATAAGTAGGGCTGTGCGATTATGGCAAAAATCATAATCACGATTATTTTGGTCAATAATTGATATCACGATTAGTAAAAACGATTATCCATTTACTTTGAAAACATCCATCTATTGAAAAAAAAATGTGAACCGTATGTTTTTAAGAGTTGATTAAACCTGAACTTTAAGTATAATTCAACTGAAAAAATAATAAAAAAATTGCATTTTTTTTTTTTTAAATAAAAATAATAATCGTTTTATTTTGATTACGTTGTTTTCGTAATCGTTGCAAGCCAAAATCGTAATCGCGATTAAAATACGATTAATTGCACAGCCCTATTTATAAGTAATGTATACGTTGAAAATTCTGAAAATATTGCAATCTGGCTTAGTTAATTTAGCTGAATAAAAGTTATTCATCATGTGCACACAGTGTTTGAATCCATGATTGAAGCTTAAAGTTGCAATGATGTGATAACACCAGCTCTTAGGTTTCCAGGTTTAAAATAAAAAATGAGCAAGCATAGACTGTATGGTGGCAAGGCTGGGAATTAAGTGAGCACATGGATACCAGGTTGTTATTTCTATAGGTGAACAACTCAAAGTCAGGGGCATTTTATATTTGTTGCTTTTTCACGAGTTGATTAGTATTGTTTCCTACCTTGGAAGCCATGCGAGAGTAGAGTGCGTTCTGGTCCTGCGCAGAGCTCATCTTCTCCCTCCTCACCATCTCCTTCAGACCCGTACTGTCATCATCCTGGAAGTAGCGCACACGCTCTCCGTCAACATGGGTCTCAATCTGAAGAGAGAAGGGGGGGAAAAGAGAGGAATGTGAAAACTGAGGTGAGCACAGGTGAGGACACAAGACACAATCCTAAAAGCTTTGTAAATCAAATTCAGAAACAATCCATTAAATAAAGGGTGCGTCAGTTAGAGACAGTCGGTGGAGAAGAGAGAGGTATAAGAAGAGGGAAAACCTCATAATGTGTGTTGGACATTTTAAAGAAATGGAAAGAGACAGTGAAGGAGACCGGGCAGCAAATGTCCATGATCAACTCCTTTGTAGATAAATCCCCTCCCTTCTTGCTCTCCTATCATCTGTTTTTCTACTTTCTTTCCACCCATCATCCCTCTGTCTTTACCGCTTTCTTCTTCCGTCGTCCCCCGTGGGGCTCCTGGGGTCCAGAGGGGGCGTTGACGGGCCAGGCGCGTCCTGATTGGTCAGTTCTGAACAGCAGGAGTTCCTGGGCTTCACTGGAGCGACCAGTGACCTGAAAAGAAAAACACACAGCCAGGTCATTTTTTACTTTCGTTTGTTTTTAAACTAAAAGGTTGAAATGTTTTTATGTATGCACCTTTTGACATTTGAACAGATGCTCGAGTCAAGATACGGATAATTCTTCAGAACTAATGTTTAATGATGTAATAATGCAATGATGTCTGCAACCTATTCAAGGTCAGAAACACTGCGTTTGCTGATCAGATTTGAGCATGGATGACTGTATTAATAAGCACCGGCTTTAATCTCATCTTGCTTTGGGCTAATGTTTAATACAAATGAAATGTGGCTGACTCCAATTGACATGCACTATCTAAAACACCTGAAGAAGTGTGTTGCAATATGTCTTGTGACATTTAAAAATGACTAACTTGTCATCAGTGTCATGCTGGAAGCCTAAGCATAGCTGATGAAGGGAAGCAGGGAACATTCATCAATACTAATTTGGCAAGAGGAGAAAAGATGGGCTTTTAGGACAGAAACAGTAGCTGCAGTTATAATAACAAGTGCTACATAAGAATATAAATGCCTTACACCTCAATTAACCTCGCTCATGTCAAAATAATGTCTTTAATTATAATAATAATAATTAAAAGCCTAAATTAATCTGTCTTTATCTTTATCCATTTTCTTAATATAGTCCTACTTTTTATGTTGAACTGGATTAAAGTTGTGAAAACCAAAATGTTCTGGGACCAAAATGTTCCTTCTGTTTAAAAAACGTCAGTGGTATGATGTCATAAAACCGCTGCTTCAGAGCCAGTTTAGCACTTTAGCAAAGATCAAAAAGTTTGCTTGTTGTGAGGAACTGCAGTCTGAAGTGCATGAAGACCAACGTTGGACCCGACAGGTAGAGGCGGACAGCCGAGAAACACGAAGAAGGCGGAGTAGCAGAGAGGATGGGAGGCAGTCACAAGAAATTGAAAGTGGACTGTCAGAAACAAAATGATAGAATAAAATATTTCTCTACGGGTCGACACAGTTTGGTCTTTCAAGGCTCGACGCAATGTTTAAAAATGACTCAAAACACTGAAGGCAAGCCAAAATTCTTCTTCTTCTTCTTCAGATGGAAAGGATCTCTAAAGATTTCAAATCAACCATTCTCCGCCTTATTTGTGTACCAAAACCTAAAAACCATGACATCTTTTTTGGAATCTTAATGATAAATTCACCCTTGGTCTTTTGATTTGAACAGGACAGCCTTAGTAGGGATGAATCTGGCCGAACTTGCAGATGATAATATACAAGTTATATAAATAATTACAGCCTGCTTCCCATGTGTTTATAAAGTTGTCTGGAGTCTGTTCATGTTGGAAATAGACCGCCATTTGTTTCAGAGAGAGCATTAGCAACGGCGAATAGCGGAGATAAAGCAGTGCTGAGGTGTCAGGGCACTGCCATCGCTATCTGGTAATTGCCTCTAACACAGACAGGATGGCACATGTAATCTCTGCTACTCAATCTGTCTCTCTCTTTTTTACTCTCACACACATAAACACTCTGAATGACCCCTGGTAAGAGAGTGTCGTCATCACGCTGTAAGACATTTGTTTCCCATTAGGGTCCGCTCAAAGGCCGAACAGGAGAAGCGACCATACAGGCAGCAAGAGGCAAGAGCCGAAGAGACTTCAAACAAACAAATTCCTTTTGAAAAGCGGTCAGACGTTAAAGAAGAAGGGTTCAGTTTCATCTGGAGTCAAGTGTGTGTGAAGCACTTTTCCTTCGTGCACAGTGAGGGAGATGGATGCCCCTGCAACATGCTGAGAGTGTGTGTGTCTGTGAAGTCTAGAGAACACATAGCCCTGAGTGTTTGGATTAGCATTTTGACTATGGGAGAGGAAAAAGAAGAAGACAAATCTGACAGGGAAAGATTCAGTGTGTGTGTGTGTGTGTGTGTGTGTGTGTGTGTGTGTGTGTGTGTGTGTGTGTGTGTGTGTGTGTGTGTGTGTGTGTGTGTGTGTGTGTGTGTGTGTGCCAGGTCAACAGGTGTGCATGTGACTCTCTATCTATATATTCCTGTGTGTGCATGTGTTAACGTCTGTGCATGATTTCAGAGTAAGTGTAAATATATAGTTACATTAGAATGTTTCTGCATCTGGGAATATAAAATCAGCAGTGCAAGTTACATGTTTATTTAATGTGGGGGTGATTGCTTCACGTGTTGCATTTACACACCTGTTTTGAAGTCGCCATTTCTTGTCTTCGAGCTTCGTGGCTTTCTTTAGCTTTATGTGCTGCGTCCAGCTGGGACTTCAGCTTCTCAACCATGGCCTGAAACAAACAAATATACATTTACACAAAGTCCTTCAGTAATTACAAATGGCTACTTAAAAAGTAAGGCCTATACAGATACATATAATGGATGTATATGCTGGAAGATATGGAGAATCGTATATCAGCAAGGCTGCTTTTAGGAATTGTAGTTTAAAATGTTTTTTTCAATGCAGTTTTTCCAATGGTGAGATACATCAATTTGAGGCTTCAAAACGACATGAGACTGAGAGAAGAAAAACATTTGGTTAAAGCATCCAGAACCTCTTAAGCCACACCGTGATAGATATACAGTGGGGCAAAAAAGTATTTAGTCAGCCACCAATTGTGCAAGTTCTCCCACTTAAAAAGATGAGAGAGGCCTGTAATGTTCATCCTAGTATACCTCAACTATGAGAGACAGAATGAGGAAAAAAAAATCCAGAAAATCACATTGTCTGATTTTTAAAGAATTTATTTGTAAATTATGCTGGAAAATAAGTATTTGGTCACCAACAAACAAACAAGATTTCTGGCTCTCACAGACCTGTAACTTCTTCTTTAAGAGCCTCCTCTGTCCTCCAATTGTTAACTCTATTAATGGCACCTGTTTGAACTCGTTATCAGTATAAAAGACACCTGTCCACAACCTCAAACAGTCACACTCCAAACTCCACTATGGCCAAGACCAAAGAGCTGTCAAAGGACACCAGAAACAAAATTGTAGACCTGCACCAGGCTGGGAAGACTGAATCTGCAATAGGTAAGCAGCTTGGTGTGAAGAAATCAACTGTGGGAGCAATTATTAGAAAATGGAAGACATACAAGACCACTTATAATCTCACTCGATCTGGGGCTCCACGCAAGATCTCACCCCGTTGGGTCAAAATGATCACAAGAACGGTGAGCAAAAATCCCAGAACCACACGGGGGACCTAGTCAATGACCTGCAGAGAGCTGGGACCAAAGTAACAAAGGCTACCATCAGTAACACACTACGCCGCCAGGGACTCAAATCCTGCAGTGCCAGTACGTGTCCCCCTGCTTAAGCCAGTACATGTCCAGGCCCGTCTGAAGTTTGCTAGAGAGCATTTAGATGATCCAGAAGAGGATTGGGAGAATGTCATATGGTCAGATGAAACCAAAATAGAACTTTTTGGTAAAAACTCAACTAGACGTGTTTGGAGGAGAAAGAATGCTGAGTTGCATCCAAANGACTGCGCCGCTGCACATTATCCAATGAGAGACGTTCTGCAGTAAGGAGGGCGTTTCACCGACGACAGGTGTTTGTACTTTTATGTAGTTGACGGAGAATTTTTACTTTACACGACACTGTTCAACACTTCATTCTGCTTTACTCTTTAACTAAACAACCACGGATGTCTTAAAAGAGTCTTTCGCTAAAGATTTTGAAGATATCCGCGTTCTTGTGACACGTAAATACTACGCTTCCTATGTTTTGGTGCGGATTGCGTTCACACCAGCAATGAACCGCTCCAGAGTTCGCAAGCAAGCGTTCCGAGACCACCTATTTTAGCAGACCAGAGTCCGGTTGTTTAGTTCACTTAAGAGGTCTCGGACTGTGTTCACACCGACCCAAATGAACCGCACCAAGCGGCTAAACGCACCAGGGTTCGATATTCAACCGGACTATACAAGGCAGGTGTGAACGCAAAGTGTATTAAACTATAGTTGTTGCACCTTCCTGCCTTCCTTTACCTGATCCGTAGGTCCAAGAATGAACTTTCTAGGATTGTGTTAATGGCAAGCAAACTATTTGGCCGTGGACGCAACATTATTAATTTGACTCAATGAAGAGAGAGATCAGTGTCCTGGCAGATTCTATTCTCTTGAGGCTCTGACGCCCCTGGAGGCACTACATGGTCTCTGATAACTAAACATTTCGTTTTTTAACCCAAGACATCAATATTCACAAAGTGACTGATAAGATTTAAGACATACAGTAGTAGACGTTGGCATAAACCCTTTTACATGTAATAAGAGCTGCTTGTCTGTAATACGGTAAGGTTGTTCATCATTAAGCATGTCTACAGAGTAATACAATAAAAGCTTCAAACCTTGACGCAGAAGCTTTGTTGCCAGTGGGACCGTCTTGAGGAGCTGTCACAGGTTTCCCAGGATCCCTCTCTCTCTCCTGCTGTGGTTTCTCAAAGCTGGCAGATTCCCTGGTAGGATTGCTGCTCTTCTTTGAGGTCTGCATGATGGCATTACGGGGACCAGAGTCTTCATCGTCAGAGCTGGGTTTCAGGAATCCTGAGGACGGCCGCGCTGGAGGACGGCGACGATCTGGAACTGCACAGGAAACTTGGCATGTTAGTTTAAAACTTATTTTAAACCTGGGCTCATTTTTCCATTTCTTTGTGACGGGGACAAGACTTTTTTTAATTGTCGAATATTGGGCAAGAATGGCTAAATGGGTTCCAATATATAAGGCATAGGCATTCCTCACGGTCAATACATGCCACTAAAATAGCTTTCTTTGCCGATGTCTTACATTATGAAAAGAAAGCCTACAGAGAAATAAAACATTTACTACCTTTTGCATCTGTTTATGTGTCGTGTGACTGCAGTAAGTAAATGGTGGTAACGTGAGTGAGAGTTGGAGAGAAGAGTCACTTAAACACAAGAACATGGGAAAACAGGGTCCAGGTTAAAAGATACCCAAGTTACCATTTCATTGGTGATGGGACTTGAGTTATTATGTGACTTATGTTGTTGCTCTTTTTTCAAAAATGGGTTAGGGTTAGCATGATTTGAACCTGTGACTGTACAGTGTAGCCACCCCAATAACACCTGTGCTCATTTCAGCTAAATGTGACTCAGACATTTTTTAGAAAAGGCCTTGATATCAACCCACCGTCAGCACTGTCATCATCTTCTGAGGGTTTGAGGAAGCGACCTTTGAGTGACCCGAGAGAGGAAGAAGGTTGACTCAGGTTTTGGCCGGATGATGATGATGATGAAGAAACGCTGCTACTGTCTCTTTCTCTATTTCTTTCACTATCCCTATCTCTATCCTGATGTCTGTCTCCGTCTCTGTCAGTATCTCTTTCTCTTCCTCCATCCCTATCTCTATCCTGATGTCTGTCTCCGTCTCTTTCATTATCTCTTTCTCTTCTTCCATCCCTACCCTGTTCCCTTTCTCTTCCTCTATCTCTCTCGCTGTCTCTATCCCTCTCTGTATCCCTCTCTCTGTCTCTGAACCTGTCTCCGTCTCGACTTCTGTCTTCCTCTCTGCCGCGATATCCCCCCCTCTCCCTTTCCTCTCGTCTCCCAGCATTGTCTCTCTCTCCGTCTGTTGGTGATGAATCTCTTTCCCTTTCGTTCCTTCTCCAGCGTTCTCTCTCTTCCCCCTCTCCATCGTTTCTTCTCCATCTCTCTCTGGACTCGTTTCCTCCTCTCCTCCACCCGCCTCTCGCTCCTCTGTTTCCATCTCCTCCACTGCAGTGTCCGTACACAGCTATCTCAGCATCGGCAAGTTTTTGCTGAAACTCTTCCATTGACTGTAAAGGACAGATAAAAGAGATATTAAAATACTAGCTGTTGCAGTTCAGAGCTTAAGAAATGCCCACCCGAACCACGTTGTTGAATGCCATGTAGAGAATGTTACAAAGCTAATAATATATCTAACTGACAGCAGCAGACCGTGGACTTAAGGTAGACTTGTTTAATCATTCTCAGTAGGTCACCATGACATATAATAACACATTTGTTTTCTTCCCTCAGGTCAACGTAATGTAATGTAGTGAGGAGTCTACTAAGTTACTGTAAGCCAAACAAACAGCTGCATTATGGGTATGCTGGCTTCCTTACAAGCAAACTAAAACCACACGTTTAAATTCACATACTATACTATTGGTAAGTTGTTCATATTTACATCTGATACACATAAATCAAACAAAAAAGGGGATTAGTGTCAGGTATTCTACTGAAATCTACTCAGTTTTTCATTTGTTATTTCCACAAGAACTGCCAGAATTAACATTCTATCGATTGAAAACAGCACCTTCAAGTGCTTCACAAATACCAATAAAGCATCTGCATGGGTACAAAAATGTTAATGAGGGAGGCTGTGGCTCAGTGGGTAGTGTGCTGGACTTCGAATCAGGGGATAGCAAGTTCGAGTCCCACTGCAGTCAGCATGTCGTTGTGTCCCTGGGCAAGACACTTCAACCTCAAATTGCTCCTTTGGGGATTGTCCACAGTACTGAATGTATGTAAGTCGCTTTGGATAAAAGCGTCTAACAAATGACATGTAATTCATGTTAATTATAAAAGTTTAAAGAACCATTTTATGACAGACTATAAGATGTCTTTGCCTTGCTGGGAAAAAACTCAATGAGGTGCACTGCTGTGGCTGGCTTAGCTCTGACAAAATAAAAATTAATTGTACACACACACACACACACCATGTATACATCACTTCAGGGGACATTACATTGACTTACATGCATTTCCTGGAGACTTATCCTAACCTTAACCATAACCAACACATGCCTAACCCTAACCCTNTTAACTCTATTCTGGCACCTGTTTGATCTTATCAGTATAAAAGACCACACAACACACACACACAACACACACACCCACCACACACACACACCACCACACACACACACACCACCACACACACACAACACCACACACACACACACACACGTTTGGGGTATTCGAATATTTGCTTTGCATTCTAGGGAGATACTGGATATTACGTTGATAACACTTTAGTTTTGTGTGTGTGTGATGGTGTGTGTGTGTATGTGTTGTGTGTGTGTGTGTGATGTGTGTGTGTGTGTGCTGTGTGTGTGTGTGTGGTGTGTGTGGTGGTGTGGGTGTGTGTGTGGTGTGTGTGTGGTGTGGTTGTGTGTGTGTGTGGTGTAGTGTGTGTGTGTGTGTGTGTGTGTGTGTGTGTGTGTGTGTGTGTGTGTGTGTGTGTGTGTGTGTGTGTGTGTGTGTGTGTGTGTGTGTGTTGTGTGTGTGTGTGTGTGTGTGGTCTGTAACAGGCCAGCACTGTAAACCTCTCGTCTATAAGAGCTCCCTATAGCACAGTTAGGATTGACACGTGAAGGAAGTGCACAGATCAAGCAGGGCTTATGTCCCTTTGCATGGCTGTTGAGGTACGCTAATAAAAGACTCAATGTAATGGGCCAGAGAAAAGTGATAAACACTTACCTACTCAACAATAATAAAAGCTCAATGAACACAAAAATACAAAAATGTGGAATTTATGTTTCTGATTTTAACGTAAGTGATTTTATGTTTCCATTGAACAGGAGAGAAAAGGGCATTAGGATAAGGACTCTCTTATCTTATGGAGTTTATTGTATCTCAGGGCACTTCCCCGAGCCAGGAGGAGGCCACATCAGATCTTAGACTTTATCCAAAATATTATTTTTCAAAAACTGGGTTTGAATCCGGTTGGATTGATTGTTCCTCATATTTAAACCCAATACGTGACAAACAGAAACAATAACAATGACAATTACTCCACTGGTGTTGGCCATATCGCGGAGCTTCACAGTTTGGCTCCAGTTGCTTGGTTCATCCCTCCTCTGACATCAGTGGAAGCTCCTCTTCCTCTTCCTCTTCCTCACTGTCACTCCTAGGGTAAAAGGACAGAGAGGAGAGTTTAAAGCGCGGACTAAAACCCAAGAGATATGGCACTTAAAAAAGTGAAGGACTACAAAAAGAGTTTCATTCATTGCCGAACACGATTATGCAAGCGCAACGCCGGTTGAAAATAAGCTAAATAAATAATCACATTCCGTCAAGTTAGCGTTAATATCCACAACCGCATTGTTAACACTTCTTCAATTTATCTTCCTCCGAGCCACTCGCCCCCCTTTGGAGAAGAGTATTTAACTCACTTCATTATTCCACCCTCGTAATTAGTCCTAACACTCTAATGGGAAAGGTATTTGTGAGGTTTTTAAATTTACCCGTTTAGTTGTTTTCTGGAGAGCTCTTAGACTGTTTTATCTGTAATGTATGCCTTTGAGAGAGGTATCACCCCCCCCCCCACAGCAGAGATCATTACCTCCCTGCCTGGCAGGATCTGAACTGCATCCTGGGAAGCATCGTTCTAGGCTATTACACTCCTCACAGCCTCATTTCATTCTGCTGCCACACTGCAGACTCATTTCATGCTGCAGGGGTTCTGGCTGCTGGTTTACCCAAACAACTTAGCCTAATGAGGCAAAACACAGAACAACTAAAGATTTCAAAGGCAGTGATGCTCCCACTCTTTACCTCCAATGGGGCTGACTGCCAGTAAAATGTGGTAAAACATATATGATGCAATCATTTCATTAAAGGAGTTCCTGTGCCACTTGTCGATGTCTGAGTTCAGTTTTCTTATAAATATCCATGTATGATGCGGATAAAGCATAAAAACATATTAACATGACATTCAGAAGAACTCAAGAGAGAGATATGCAATTTTCAAAGCAAGAAATAACTCAATGGTTTAATGAACTATGTTCCAGTTCTTTGATTATTCAGCATAGTGGATAATGTGTGAGAAAGGAGATAACTGACGCTTTATAATGCCTGAAAAACATTCATCAATGAACTGATGGTTGATGTCAATAAGTAAATAAAGACATCAATGAGACAATTATCCTGCAGGTGTAACTCTAGGTTAAAGACACATAAAGACACATTGTAGACTACAGACTGAGAACTGTGTGAAGACTGTGTGTGTGTCCAACTGTATGTTACTAAACTAAGTGCTTTACACAAAGACAACTGATAGTAGAGAAAACGTGTGGATAATATATGACTTCAGAGGCCGGGGGAATTTCTAACAAGACTAATGTTCAAAAGTAGATAAGAACTTCATCAGCTAAGGCAGGACATAATTAAGAACATGTGAAGACACACACATGCTTTATGGTAGGGATTACAGTGAGAACGTATCTGGGGAGCTTGACCACATTATGAATTAAACCCGGCACTGAACATCTACACAAGCTGCTGAAAGGACACAGTGATTAAATATGCATCCTTTTTCCTACACAAGGAATGAAGAGTGTATCAAATAAAGCTCCTATTGCAACATATGTGCTAAAGCCTGAGAGTAAACCAAGCGTTTTTTGAGATATAAAGATACTCCCATTATTTGATTATTATTATTATGTAGTAGTACCAATTCATTTTTTTTGGTTTAACATAAATATATATATTGGTTTCAATGCTTAAAAGTCCATTGCCAAGTGTTCTATGTGTATGTAATATCAATGCTACTACTTTCATAATGGTGTCATCCTTTTTCATGTGAGAAAGGGGAATGGACAACTTCTATTACAGTGACTGATTCATTTTAAATGTAAACCCAAACATTTACAGATTTAATAAATAAGAAACATTTTGTACAGGCACAATGTAATTACTGTAAGAAAATAAAACAGCGGGGGGGAATCTCTGAGGCAAAATTATATTAAAAAAAGAGAAAGTGAAAATTCATAACTGGTAACCTAAGACAGGCTTTGGAGCGAGGAAACAACCTTAATCGGCAGAGTCAGTAAAAAGGGAATGAAGACGAAGTTGTTGCAAGTCCAATCTTTTAAAAAGACTGTGCTGCTCAACGAAAAGAAGATTTTTCAAGGTTGTTTCAGTCCTTCTAAGAAACATGCAATGTGCCAAAATCATGGACATGTTCAGTCAGGCGAAAATAGGACAATGATTGGATTACAACGACCTCCATAGTGTCAGTGTAAAACCATGGAAGGAGTTCTGGCCAAACACTTGCCCATCACTGTGGAGCTATGATAGGTCCACTGTAATTCACTATAAAAAGCTATAGAAGCAGAGGTAGCCGACCCTGCTTAAAACAGTTACTGACAGCTTGAGCATCCAAAGGGATATGGGAGATCTTTATTCGTGGATTTCAGCTCAGTTTTATCTCAATGGAGAAACAGATTCTCCTGAAACGTCTCATTGATCTCAACATCAACACAGGGTTGGTTCTCTGGATCAGAGAGTTTCTTCTCTGCCGCCCACAGACGGTCTGTGTCGGGGGGGGAGCATGTCAGACGCTGTGAGCACAGGCGGCCCACAGGGCTGTGTTCATCCCCCACTGCTACTCAATCTTCAACAGCAAATGTATGATCAACATTTTAGCTTGCTTAAATATGCTGATGACATGGCTTTGCTTGCAAAACAAGATCTGAAGACAGAGCCAGTGTCACTTGGTGAAATGTATTTCTAGTTTTAGAAAACTATAAATATCTTGGGACAGTGTTGGACTCCTAGGTGAGCTTCTGTGAAATGAGTATATTTTCAGGAACTGCTCACAGACGATTTATTTTAGTTTGAAGTGACTTCTGTGTTGATCAGCAGTCTTAGGGTGCATTCACACCTAATAGTCTGCTCTCTGGTGCGCACCAGACCACAGTTTGTTACATTGTTTCATTTTTCAGAAGGTTCGGTTTGCACGGGCAAAACTCAAACGGACTATAAACTTTAAACACAAGTCATGTGCTCGGAAATGCTGTTCAACCATTGGTCAGACATTAAGGGGGTAAAAACGCAAATCCCGGCAATTTCTACCGGAGCCTCC